TCGGCGGGTAGAAATCGACTTCTCGGGGATCGATTTATCGCGTCCCGTCGGGACGCGACAATCGATCCCCGAATTGACGCTCTTACTCCACCAGCGGAGGTGGGAGTAAGCGTCGTCGACAGAAAGCCGCAGAAGTCGATTTTGCCGCCGTCCTCACAGCGGGGTAAGTCGGCTGCGATACGTCGAATTCAGCTACGCTATTCACGTAGCTGAATTTGCGTATCTTAAATCGACTCCCCCCTGTAGTGTAGATGTACCCAAAGAGTGAGCATCTGAACTGAAATTATATCCCAGAAACATTTGTTTCCCATTCCCTGCTTCAGGAACTAGGTAATATTCCAAAAGGAAAAAAAAATCAGTCAACATTTTTACATCTAAGGATGAAGCCATTTCAGGAAAAGGGATTTGAATGGAAATGCTGATTAGCCCTCAACTGCTGTGGAGTGACAGATTATATTGCTTGAGTAGCATCGGTCATTTCTGCTACAGAGAGGGGTGGTTGAATCTTGCTATTACACTAATTACCAAAAATGTCTTCGTGTCCTTTATCTGAATCTTCAAAGGGTGAGGTCATTATTACAGAGAAATATCATATCACATGAAATAACGCAATTGGGTGTGCAAGGCCATGGATCAGGAAGATTGCTTGAATTAACTTGACTTTGTAATGAATGAGCAGGGCAATCGCTTTCAAAAGAGCCGCAGGAGGCTGGCTGTGGGTTGATTAGCAATGATGCATCACCTGTAAAGATCTAGTGAGACACCATTATTTCCAAAAATGACACAACTTGAGTATCTTAGGGCCCTGCTTTGGGAAAGTGACTAGCCGTGCAACAGTGAAAGTGGTGAAGTAACTTCACAAGGAAGATGAGTGCATCAATTGACAGAAGCCAAGGTCAGCAGCAAACTAGTGTTTTGGAGTCCTGTTCAGATTGAAAGAGGAAATAAGGAAAGGTTCTGGATCACGCTAAGCTATCTGTGCTGGGAATGACTTGTCTCTGTCTCATAATTCATAATGCTCCTTCTGAAGAGCAAGAGCCTGATTCTCCTCTTACTTACCCTGAGTAAAACTAGTATAATCCCGCTGATGTCTATGGAGTTTACTCCTGATTGACACCAGATAAAGGGTAAGGAGAATTGTGCCCAAAGGGTCATATCTGAAATCAGTGCACTCTCCTGAATTAAGTGAGGTGACCAGGGCCGGCTTTAGGACCTGTGGGGCCCGATTCGAATACCTGGCGGCAGTCCGGGTCTTCGGCGGCACTTGGGCAGCAGGGGGGTCTGCTCCGCGTCTTCCGCGGCACCGGAACGGACCCCCCGCCACCGAAGTGCCGCCAAAGACCTGGAGCGGACCGCCACCGGGTGAGTAAGGCATGGGGCCCTCTTCGGCGCGGGGCCTGATTCCAGGGAATCAGGGGAATCGGCCTAAAGCCGGCCCTGGAGGTGACACTGGTTTATACCCATTGAGAATCTGGCCCCTTATCATTTGCCTCTAGAGTGCTCCAGTTTTCAAGTGGACTGCAGTTGCAAAATATTTTCAAGGGGAAGGATATTCCAAAGGTCCTACTTCAAAGGATCTATTCTCCTCCCCCCCGCCCCCATTCTATGTACTTGGTTCCAAAATAGTTCAGGAGTAAACCATATACGTTATAGTTGTTGTCTGTAGTTTTTTTAAATGGGCTATTAGATCCATTCGTGACATAATATCAACCAGCTGGGACTCTGGAGATGCTGTAACGGGACTCAATGTTTTATGATTTGATCGTGATATCTAATGGGCTGTTTTTAACTTGCTGTTTCTAATGTCTGGTTTTCCTTTGGTGTGGCCCTTTTAAGGTTGCATTTTAATCCAGTTAAATTGTAAACGCTTTAGGACATCGTTTCCATGTTAGTATACTGTACTTAGGTTCTGATCTAAAGCTGACTGAAGTCAATGGGAAGCTTTCTACCAATTTCAGTATGCATTGGATCAGGCCCTTAGGCTCAGCATGTGCTTTGAAGTCAATGGGATTACTCTCCGTTTTAAAAGTAAGTGCAGGAGTAGGCGTTTTGGATGGGAGGGTTAGGGTGGGTTAGGGTGCTCTGAAAAATCTACTCAGGAACATCCTAGAAGCTTCAGTGTAGGCTTCAAAATGTCATCACATCTTTAATTTCATTAAAAAAATACAATACATTAATTCAATAAAATACAATAAAGTCGTCGTCCCCCCCCC